CAGGCTTCTGTGGAAAAGTTCAGACTCCCTTCCCGCCATATTTGTTACCCCAACCCCTTTATAGGAGAACAGAAGACCTCGTCTATTCAGGCAGACCAACTATTCCCTCTAACGACCCCCTTTCAGAGACATAGACAGGTATGGGGCATTGCAGGCTAACAGAGAAGCCAAACGACCCCCATTCCAAAGGGGGGGACCCGTTCATCCGTTTCTATTTGCATTTTTTCTAAACAAAAACAAGGCTTTGTTGGGCTGCTTTATAAAGTCTTGACTTTAACTCCATTTCTGACATTTTGAATTAAAAAAGCTTCCTGGATGGGAAGCGAAACGTCTTCAAACTTGGAAACAAAGTCCAGTTGATTCATTTTTATGGGGAAAAAAAATTTTACTGTGTAGCTTTTATGTCACTTGAAAAGGTCCATGTCAATAGATTCAGATTACAGCGACTAAAGATGGCTGCATCGGGTTCCTGTTTTTAAATAAACTGCAGTCTGGTTTCCATGTAGACATTTCATCCTGCTGTAGAATAATTAGGTTTCATCCTTTGAACATTAAACAAACAGGCTTGGTTCAGGCCGTCAAAACAAGTCACACCCATGTTTGATCAGCGCCCAGTCAATAGATCCGAGGCTGCTGATCGTGCATAACCTTCATTATGTTTATCTCTGAGAATTCATTCACAAACTGAACCATACATTTTAAGCCACTCATAATTCCTAGTGAAATCTTGTAGTCAATCAAGAGGACATCAGGTCTTCCACACATTTCCTTCTCCTCACTTACATTCACCAATAATGTTCCAGGTATTCCAGAAAAGTTAAACAATCTACTGGACTTTGTTTCCAAGTTTGAAGACGTTTCTCTTCCCATCCAGGAAGATTTTTCAATTCAAATGTCAAAATTATCGTCGAGTTCCAAGCTTTATATAGGAGCCCAAAAACTTTGGAAGACATGCAGCCACAGACGAATGGATCAAAACGGAAGAGCGTCCTACTTCGGAAAAGACACTGTCCATAAGGTGTAGATGTACCGCAAAGGACATTCTTTTGAGGACCAGAATGGTAAATGTCCTGTACTTATAAAGCGCCTTTATTCAAGTTAGGAGACTTGACCAAAGCGCTTTACACTACATTCATTCACCCATTCATTCACTCACACACTGAT